ATATTATACACTCTATTAGGATTTTAAAATAAATAAAATGCCAAAAATTGCAATTATAATACTATCCAAATACTTATACAAAATCCAAAGGATGTAGATTTATAAAAAAAATAATCATATTAAAAATTTGTAAGTATTTTTATTTTTTAGTTTAAACAGTCTTTTGAACTAAAATTGTATTTAATATATATATATATATATATATATATATATATATATATATATATATTAAAATTTTAAAATTCATATTTTAAAATTATTTAATATAAAATATACATGTACTAATAAGATATTGTGTTTTATAAATCTTATTTCTTTAGTATTTAATTTTTTTCATTCACAAAAGATAATTAAAATTACAATAATTTTAAAAAAACATATGTTTATAATAATTTGCCATACACATCCATGCTTTAAGAATTATCTTTTATATCATGTATTTTGTTAAAAATAACGATAAATTTCAATGAATTAGTGTAAACTATGCAAAATGATTATGTTTTATTATTTTTGAAATTCTACAAGTTCTAAGCTTTTACTTAGAATGCATTGGCTTCTAATGCCATATATTAGTATTCTTTTAGTTTTCTTTATGTCTTTACTAACCTATAGAAAATACTTTATTAAACTTTGAATAATTTTTATGGTATGAAAAATTTATTCTAGATTATGTTAAAAATAACAAAATTATAGATGCATGCAAAGATCAGACAATGAAAGAAAAGAATATAACTCGTCAATTTTTAAAAATTTATATCATTCTGAAAAAGTTTTATTTTGTAATATAGATAAGTTGGATAAGTACTTAAAAATATATAAATGATATATATATTTTTAAATTGAATTATTTCTAATTATAAATTTTTAGAAAGTTTAAATTTTCAAAAAATCCATACCAAAAGACAAATGTATAATACTAATTGATATTAAAACTTGAAAAAAATAAAGTGAATTATAGGAGCTATAATACTTTGTAAATTTTTTGATGTTTGTATGAAGATTACAAAGTAATCTACATATCATGTTATAACTAATTAATCTTGTTTCTATGGCAAATAGACTCTTATATTATAATCTTATTGTATTAAAACTATTAAGATAAAGATGAGGAATTTTTCTACCAGAAGATATAGAAATTTAAAAATTAAAAAGGTTTTTTTGAATCTTTTATTAGATAAAGAAGTCAAAACAAAGGAAACTATTTTTTATTGCAATTTTAATTATATATAATAGTATCTTCAATTTTTTGGTATATACAGAATACAGAATACATATATAAAAATACAGAAATTATTGAATAATATTTTAAATGTATATAAAAAAAATAAAAATTCAAAAACAGCATGTATTCTTTTGATTTTTTGGCCACATTGAGTATTATATATATATATATATATATATATATATATATATATGGACATAATTATTTTTCTTAAAGATTAATTTAATGAATGATATGTTTATTTAATTTTAACCTTCTTTTTTTTTTGAAAAGATAGATTGAATTCTCAAAATTTAAATTTCATAGTTATAATTATAATAAAGACTAATAAGTATATAGTTTAAATAACTTTGAAGTTATTTTTGTATTTAAAATTTAAATGTTAAGATATTTAGGCTTTGTAATGTATTTTTTAAGATATTATCTTAATCTTAATACTTTTAAATCATCTTCACATGTTTTATTCTATAATACAAAAAAGTCTTAAAGAAGAAAATTTTAATTCTATTTGATCTTAAAATATTTTTATTCGGAAAATCTTTGATGGCCTTATATAACTTTAATGTAGCTAGAGTTTTGAATTATGATAGATCGGCATTTTAATCAAGCATAGTCATTAAATCAAGTCAATCCTTAAATTTATCAAATAGATCAAATGTTTTATTTCTATCTTTAACATACTTAAAATACTTATTTATAGAATTGTAATTTTCTTTTCTTGATCTAAATGTATATATTTAAGATATTTTTATTTGCAATCATATGATTCAAATAATTATTTAGAACATTAGATTTTTATATATTTTTTAAATTATTACATTAGTTTTTTATTATTTTTTTCTTTTGAGTATCTTATAATTGGACGTGATTTTGATTTAATGTTATTTAATTATTTTATCTTTTATATATTGCAATTTTTTTTTAAATTTTATAACCTAATTTTAAATATTATTTCTATTCTAATATTTCCTTTGTAAACTTGTTTATCTTGTCTTTTGCAAAAATGCCTATAAAATCTTAGAAATAGTTAGAATTTTAATAGTAAAATCTATAGTATCATTTTACATTAATATTCCTAATACTTTTTCTTGAGCTTTTTTATTTTTTTACATATTTATATATATGTAATCTATCTATTTCTTGATACTTATAACAAATTGGAATAATTAAACCAAAAGAGATGGATCTTTTTTTAATTTATATTTAGAAATTATTTAAATTAAAACTTATTAAATATACATAAAATTAAATAAATATTCTAAAAATTATTAATCCACTTTTTCTATTGTCTTACAAATATTTGATTGCATTGTTTATAAGCAAGTAGTTTATAAGATTCAAATGTCTTATTCATAAGTCCTACAATGTATGTTTCATTTTAATATATATATATATATATACAATCTAGTTTATTTATAATTAGTATTTTAATTTTAGAAATAAATTTATATATATTTTATAATCTACCATTGCTATTGGTATGATGGTATATAAAAGTACTAGTTCAAAAAATTCTATTAAGATATTCTATAAGATAAGTATGATATTCTAATATATAAGAACAATGCAATAAAAGATATTAAACTAAAGATTAATTAACATAATACTCTTTTGTTTTTTTTCAATTTTCTATTTTAGTATAATTAGGAGTCTCTTTTATAAATAAAAATATAATATCTTTTAGAAGATATTACAAAGTTCTTTTACAAAAACATCATTTAATTTTGAGTTCTTATAAATGAAGCATATTCCAAAGAAACTTAATCAATCCAATATAATTATATCTTCTTAAGGTTCTTAAATCTTGTTAGATTATATAAGATTTCATATAAATTTATATAATATTTTAAAAATTTAATAATAAAAAAAAATTATCTAAATTCTAATTCAACATGTAGTGATGCCCAATTCTTAACTATAATGATTTGTTGGATTTTGTATTAAATATGTTCCAATTATTTCTTTGCTAATTGTGTATTATGATATCTTTTTCTAATCTAATATTTTTAATGTCAATAGAGGGATGTAATTTGATTCTTTATTCTATTCTTTTTTAAAGAATTATTTTGTAAAATTATATATTTTAAAGGAACTAATAAAATTTCACACCTTACTATTAGCAAATCAATAATATTCTAGCATAAGCACTTTAAGTTGTGCAAATTTTACTCATCTTAACAAAATAGTTGTAGAACAATCACTTAGTATTTAAGCTATTAATTTTCTTCAAAATCCTAGTTATTGTATTATTAAGATTGGTAGAATATTTTTCTTACATCTTAATAAAAATGATAGTTTATTGAATCAAAGGTTTCTTTTTCAGATTAATACATTCTATGTGTAAGGAAAAAAACCAAAGATCTTTTTCCAAGATTTTTTCTTTTTTTCTTTTTTTCTTTTCTTTTTAATAGTTTTTTTTTTTTTTTTTTTTTTTTTTTTTAATCTACTTGCATCTTTTTACAAATGACCTATTAGATTTACTATGATGTATTTCTTTTTTGTTTTTTCTTATATCATTTATAAATATTGTTTGAATTTTTACATGATTTTGTAAACTTACCTCTCTAAGTTATTTTTGTGCAATTGATTATCTAATTTAACTGGAAATATGAAAGACCTCATTGAGTTGTGATAAAGAATTATATGTCATTTGATATTACATTATTTTAGATTGTAAGAAGATTTTTGTTACTTGTCACTTTAGATATTACTTCCTTGTTTTGTTGTGTTTGATAGTGATAAGATTCTTTTATATCCCATTACTAAGTTCTTAAAGTTATCAATGATGGTAATTTTTTCTAGTTGTAACTTATAATTAAAATACTTTGTTAGTTCTTTGACAACGTTTTTTTTTTATTATATAGAAATGGAAATGATTTGAAAAAAAAAATTAATAGTTTAATTTACTATTGTGATGACTTCTTTTATTTTGCATGTACTTGCTTTTTGAAGTCTTTGCCATTATTTGTATGAAGTCATTGCCAATTGTTTGTGGATTTTTTCAACTAATAATTTTTTAGATCTATTTGCCATTGCAAGCAGTTTTTCTACATTGTGATTATTATACTTCTATGTTTTATTTTGAAGAAATAATATTAAAAAAAAAAAACTCCAAATCATGTTATTGTAGATTATGTTTAAACTTTTTGGCAATTGATAGTCCTTTATACTATATGTGTTGATTCCAAACGATAGATGCACTCAATTGGCAATGGCAATATGTAGTTGTCATCAAAATTGTTTGTATAACTAAATTTTCATTTAAAAAAACTTATATGTAATTTAGTTTGTAAAAATGCAAATTTTTTTATCACAATTATTTGAATTCTTGTCTCATACAAAATTCTGACTTGTATTTGCAATGATAGCATTCACCTGCACATTTATTTAATATTATCTGTTAAAAGACATTTGTTGGAATTCTTATTTTGACTTGTATAAGTATTAATACAAAAGGATTCAAGTTTCATATGCTTTCTATAATGGTTCAAATTCTAATTAGGCTTTGATAAATATATAGTAATAATGAATTTTGGTTCAGTCTAAAGGTCATATTCTAATTAAGAAATACCCGCACTACAAGTTACTCAATAGTCAATGTTTGCTTGACCTTCTTTTGTAGTTTTATAAACCATTTTTTTAATGGAAGATTCTAAAATTTATCTCCAACAAAAACGCCAATTCTATAAACTTTTTATATATAACATTCTTTGTCTGACCACTTAATCACCTTCCTCAATCAACCAATTTCAATTTCAAAACAACAAACCTCCAAATCTGTAAAAAAATGCTTCCAGAAGTATATTCAGTGTTCCATAACATCAGATCAACGTCTCCAATTCCATCTCTCTAATGATGTCAAACTTTGTATTAAAGTTCTCTGTTGATTCTAAGGCAAAACTCTTTCAACCGTGCAGTAAAATTGCTAACACCCAAACCATAAATCTAAAACTTGGGCTAAACGTCATGAATCATGCTTATATCTTAGAAGGGACAAGATACAGAAGTAAGAACCGAAGTTTTTTACAGTTTCATGCTGTCGTTTAATGTATCCCTTCCTGAAACATAATTACAGATGATTCTTATTCTGGATACTGCAACAGCGAACATCAGATGTAAAACAACATTCAAATTAACAAAAAAGGACCACTCCTCTGAATCCTCTACTTTAGTTTTAACAAGATGGTGTACACATTCTACACCATCCTATTAAAACTATCAGGATATTGTGCAGCTCCATCAAACTAAAATGTGGAGCTTTGCTGTAGAGCTCATAATTGTTTGTATAAAATTCATCATATATTCCTGAAAAATCTGCATACAAAACACACCCGTTCCATGATTTTTTTCATGAAGTATGAATGGAATGGATTCATGAGAGAGCAATGGTATGAGAACATGTACACCTCCACTTTATAGCTACTAGAGTAGTAGCAGTGAACATTTTGATTGAGACAACGCAAACGACGCACTAAACTCACCTCACTGTTCTTGAGCCTTGGTTTTTATGATTCTTATGCTTGGCCTTGCCGACTTGTGAGCCTGGAAACGCACACTGCACATGCAATGTTAACTGATGCTTATTCTGGATTTCAAATGCTAGACATGAACTTCATTCTTCACCGCCAAACCGTGTACGTCTATATCCCAGTGAGGCAAGGAGGGCTCGTCACCATTCAGTTCTTATTCCAAATCTTTTGAAGTGAAGAACAGCGAATATAAAAGGGGTTTCGCATGTTTTAGAAGCTCACTTTCCGACACACAAAACGGATACTCAATCAAACATAGAGTACTTGACTCACGAGTCACTCAACGTTCGTCTTGGTCTTGTCTGATTCCTTCAAAAGCGACATATCAAGGCGTTGCTTGATCTTGATGTGAAAAGCCCAAGAATATGTCTTCAGAAGATGTTCAGGTGGTTCGTGAACCAAAACAATTCCAGCCATACTGAGCGTGTTGCGCACGATTGGCTTCAATCCAACAACATCCAGGGGGAATGTCAGCAATGGCATGTCATCATCTGAGCAGGTAAAGTATATAACATGCAGCAACGGATCCTCAAACGCAGCGCATGGCCGTCTAGTTCGAGATTCGAGGTTCTAGATCCGTTTTCTTGTGACTCTTCCCTGAGTAGACCTGACTAAGACCCGTTCAAGGAACTTCCGCAACCTCGGTAGGCGGTCGAAGTCATTCACATTGTTGACACTATTTTTCCAGCTTCCATTTTTAAAAAGGCATGTTTCATCAACCACCACTTGGCAACTGGATGTCAGATGTTTTAACAACTTCTCCAGTTGACCAATATGAATAGCAACTTGTTGACTTTTGGCATAGTTCATGCACGCACGATGGTAAAAGCACCCGCTCCATCCATAGAGATTGGCATACACGCGCATCTTGAAAGGCAGGCTGCCCTGCTTAGCCAGCCAGGTCCCATACAGCTCATGATGGTTGACGTTAGCAGCATGGACGTAATTTCCAAACCAGTCGATGTAATATAACAACGGAAAAGCCTCTAACACTGTAGAATATCGTCGAGCGAACAGAAAGTTAATATTGTGGGAGCCATGTGGAGTTACGGCGAAGTCGGCAGAGGCTATCACTTTGACCTGCAGGGGAACGTTATCAAGAAACATTAAGCACCTGAACCATCACAAGAGTATAGGACCAATCAACACTAAGGATTACATCATGTAAAACAAGTTGCAACATCTATGAAATCACAAATTAGGGTTATTGGGGTCTAAACTATCTGAATAAACCGTATTATTCACTCCATCAAAAGTCTGAAAATGCCAAATTCTTCCAGTGCGACAGAAAAGCACACAATCATGCTTAACTCCAACATATACAGATAAAAAGCTAACAAAGAATAAGTCTGAGGAGCAGAAAACTTACCTGATCGCAGAAATCACCAACCCCACTGGTCACAACCTTGGGAACAACCATGAGCTCTTTCTCAAGTGTATATTTTACTTCATCCATGTTTGCTATGGACCTGACAGGATAAATCAAGTCAACTCGTTGACGTTTACTCGTCCTATTCAGGTATGCAGAAAACTCAAAAACCTAATCGATTTCATTAGGATGTCAAAGATGTATATTTTGACTGCATGCAATTCAAAACATAGATGAAAATAATCATTTACCTGGAAGAATGGATACGCTCTACGATGACCACGTTGTTGACTGGTCTCGATGCATCTAGCACAGGTATGTTACAGAATCCCAGTACTTTTTCTCTGAGCCAGGCGTTCGCTTCGCGTCCAGGCACGTAGCCTGCATTAGTGAGTCCTGGAATACGAGAACGACGTTATTTAATCAAAAACCAGCTCGTTGAACCAAAAGGAACAAGGGCGGGTGATGTGCATAAACTTGAAGTGCAATGAGAATCACCCATAATGAGATCCAGGATGCTATGAATTTCTTCACGGAAAAACGTATGACCACAATATCTGCCGACAAATTTAAATGTGTAAAATTTCTCAACCGACATCAAGAAAATAAGAGCTTCTAACCAGGACTAAACTTTGTAGTTGCCTCAGTTGCCAGACACTGCCAAAATTCCTTAAAGACGATAGGACCCTCATTTTGAGAACCAAAAAAGATCCAACGACCATAGAAGACTAACGTAAGAAACATATTTCAAACAAAATTTGTGCTAATTCAGAATACGAGAGATACAATACCTGAAAATAAGATTGCGTCTTCAAAGCAGATTTGAGGTTCATCAGGCCCAGGAACATCCATGAACTCCACCTTCATGGTTTCCAAGAATACTTTGATCAAACCCAATGACCATCTCGAGATAGTCTTGGGGTCTCGGTGAGCAAACCAATATAACGTGGAATTCCTGAGACCATAGAGATGTGATAACAAAACGGCCGGAATGAGCTTTTCAGCCTCATGATGAGGGTTGGGGCCAACTTTTTTACCATGAGGCATAAGCTTCACATCTGCCACCATTTGTAATCCTCGTATCCAGTGACCTTGCGTCCTCTCACCACCTTTTTCAGTCAAGGACAAAAGAACGTTTCAATATGTGAAGCAATCAAGCGTCACTACTTTGTGCATAACAACAGCTACTCATTGCATCGCCAGCAGCAACAAGCGCATTCGTAGCCACGAGAAAGATTTGCAACCCACAGAGTTAAAATGGTTGACACATACAATAAACATATACGATTAAATGTGCATCAGAGAGTTGTAATTCGAGCATCTTTCAATCGGAATTCTCGGCAGAACAACACTAAAGTGGGAGTACGAGACGGCTGTGTTAAAGAGGAGGAACCTGAGGCATCAACAGGTTCGTGTAGTCTCGAGTCCCATCCGGGACAAGTTCCTCTCTTCACACGAACACGATCCCTAGGAACATTTGTAATGAGCCGCAGCGTATCTGGGAGACCACCTCCTGCTTTAATGATATCTTTACTAAAATATGGCAGATCGTCGCAGATTGTGACCTGTGTTCGAGAGATGCACATGCCGTGGACACGAGGGAAGCATACTTTCCCGCATGCGTTAGTGCACAAGTAATGCTCGGAAATCTGATAATCGGTTCCTTCGTCAAGGCACGAGGAAGTGGTTCTGGCAAAGCTGAGCGGAGGTACTGAGAGGAACCACATCAAAGGGTAGATGGCGGCTATGCAGAGGAGAGGACCCAATATTAAGGCACGGCGAAAACGGCCAGAAAGTTGAAACTTTTTAGACGGCCGAGCGTTAGAGCGATCAGCTACCTTTCGCAGAGTCCTTGATCTGCCCAAAGGAGAAGAGGCTCGGGGCCTCGGGGAGGAAATTCGCGGTAATGGGGCCGAGACCCTCGGTCTCTCTAATCTGTCCATCGAAAAAATGCATACCTGCACCACTCACCGAGTCCCTATTGCTTCAGATCCCTCACACATCCCCAGTCTAAGAACCATCTAACACATCTTCTGCTCAATAGATATCCCCTTGAAAATCCATGATTTCGCCACCCCTTCGCCCGTATCACTGCATGCGGTCACGTACATATCTTCGTCCCTGTTGCTAAGCTGCTCAATACTACCAGACAAGCCGGAATGTTACAATGTTGCATTAGAAACATCACGTGCCGCTTTGCGACCTGGATGACATGTCCAAACAGAGGGTTACAAGCGCATTCTTCCAAAAAAACCAACACACAACTCGAAGCAATCCCACCGACCCACTTCCAGGACCATTACCAGCACACATCCCACCGGGTAAAATCCAAAAAGGAACGCGAGCACCGCACCTCAGTGCACAACTAGCGATGGTTGCACAGGCAGCTGCGCGGTAAGCTCAGGGCCACTGAAGGCAAACGACCTCCACAAAAAACGCCGAGCGCTGGCTGCTGCTGCCGCTGCGCTCGCGACCCCTGGTTGCAACGCCGCTCTGCTCTGCTCTACTCAGCTCTGCTCAGCTCAACATAACCTCCAGAAGAATGTAGCGAAATACAGCTGTTATTCTTTTATTTACCCATACGTGACGGATCGTAACCCACGATGCAGTAAATCGACTATCCACTCCCCTTTCCATCCTTTCGTCACTCTCTCTCTTCTTCCTTTATCAATGTCGTAAATACACAATACAGTCGTCGGCGGCGAGGTAAAGGATTGCGCAACGTGCCCCCACATACTGGTTTCGTCATAACATTCCATTCTCCTCTGGATTCGCATCGCCGCCCCCACGATTCCAGACACACTTCTCACCAGATTGTCCGTTCCTGAGCCTCTTCTCTACTTTCCTCCACGTCTGTCTTCTGACCGTCTGTGTGTCTGTCTGTCTGGCTGTCTGTCTCGTGGCCCCCATCGCCTCGCGTGCTGTCGCTACAGTGAAAAATCACGGCCCCAGATAATCCAATCTCAAGTAAACGCCGCTCGCTGCCATCGTCGCTCCGGATACCACCTGCCGTGCCTCCTCCCTACGATGGCTGGCTTCGTTACGCTGCTAAATTAGGTTAAAACTGCAGCAAACTCACTCTTTCTTTTAAAAAACACGTTCGTCTTAAAATACTCTTCTCACAGGTTGCATTCATATTTTAGACCACCTCAGGTTTTGTGCATTTTTAGACGTTTTTGGATCTCGTTGTTTTTTTTTAGTATCTTTATAGAGAAGTAGATCCAATGTAGATCTATTTAATGACCACTTGAGATTTGTTTTGGATTGTGATTATTTGGTTACATTTTTTTTTATTCATTTAGTCTCTTTGATATTCTAGCAAGATGGTGTTTGCATTTGGTTAACATGCATTGTTGCATGCCAACGTTTGTAGACAATTAATATGTTTTGTTTATTAGTATTATCATTTTTTATTGGACTTTGACCAAGTCAACTATATGTATCGATTGTCTTTTTTCTTTTCATTTTGTCTATTAACAGACATGTTACTTTTCTCTCTTTTCAACTACTTTTTTGTTTGTGTTATTAAACTTCAAATAATTATCTATTAGAGTATTTGTTTAAAGTGTTTTGATTTTAATCATTCAGATTCCTAATTTCAATAGTACCAAATTTTATATCTATAGTTATTTTTATAAAGTTAGGGTATTGCTCATGTCACCACAACTTGCCATCCACCACTTACTATCATAATTTTTGCTAATGCCATCACAACTTGTTCCTAAACTAGTTTTATATGTCATAATGCACTTTCATAGAACATTATAATGATGACTCATAAGGGAGAGCCATTAACATTTTTTAAAAAACCTACTTTATCAAACATTTAAAATGATTTTTGTTTTTGTTTCCACCTTAAAAACTTAGTTAATAATATTTTTGATAACTTTCTTAAACAAAATAAGCATAGAATTAGAACACTTTCCTTTATAAAAGATCAATATCAAAGAGTTGTAACAAACTTTTAACTTTAAATAAATTTTATTAAAAAATATATGTGATTTGTATATGTTTAATGTTTTAGCTACTTGTAGTTGAAGTTCGGGTCACAACTTTATTGATCTAATTTTTGAAAATTAAAGTTAACACTAAAATTTACTTAAAAACTCTACTAATTTGTGGGAGCAAATAAAGTAATTAATAGTATCAACACTTTATTTTTATTTTTTTATTGTTTAAGTGACTTCTAGTAAATTTTTTAATATGTATGTATTATTATATTTTACTTATTTGTATTAAATTTAATATTATAAATTATAATGTGAAGAACTTAGTGACTCATTTTCTTTAAATATTACTTTTGAAATCAGAATTCTCTTTGTTTGAAATACTCAAAATGAAAACATGAGTATATCTAGAAAATTTTATAGATACATGTGTTACATTGTATATATATATATATATATATATATAAGATTAACATGTTGTAATATTTATCAATTAATCTTTAGAAAAAAAAGTGAAAAAAAGAAAGAAAATGTGATGACTGAATGAATTGTAACTTCCATTTAACATTATCCAACTAAAACTATGAATTGATTGTTCAAACTCCTGTATATTTCAAAATAAATTGTTCAAATTATTTATTGGCTAAATGTGCAGGTGCTGCATAGAATAACTTTCAATCAATGTTTGACTGAAAATATATTTCTTTAAAAATTAATTAAAAAAATAAAATTTTACTTCTATTACTCATTTTCTTTAAAAATAAGTAATGTGAACGTAAAATTTCATGTTGTTCTTGTAAAGTAATGAATTCTAAGAAATTCAAAACTACTCTATAGCAAAGGAAATCTTGTTCAGAAAGTATAGAGCATTCTTTTGGAGCCTTTGCATTGTTTTTTTTTTAACATTTAAAAGAGTAAAAAAAATAAAACTAAAAATAAAAGTTTTATTACTGGAATTGCTTTCCGTTTCATATATATATATATATATATATATATTGTAACCGCAGTAATCACGTACTATTTATGTGAATATCAAATATGAATAATTCCATGAAAAATATAAATATTTGTAAAGAATGGTTCTAGTATGTTTCTGACTAATTTTGGACAAATTGTGGGTTAGATCTTAGAACTGTCGCCCACACTATATTTTGAATTATAACTGTCGTCTACAACATGCTCTGGTTCAGAATTGTCGTCTACGTCATGTTCTGATTCGAATTCGCTAGTCATGACACGTTCCGAATCAGAATTGTCGTCTTCCTCAGTTCATGTGTTGGCCTTGAATATGAAGGCAGCATTGCGGCCCCCCCTCCGTTTCTTCATTGGTACCATCGTCTTTGCTTTTGCAGTTCAATGCAGTGGAGGGAGGCATTAAGATTCAGGGATTTATTGGAGTGTGATTGTTTGTAGGAGAGTGTACAACAGCCTGTGTTGTTGGAGATCAACGGACTGTCTGTCTGGTGGTGTGATTGGTTTCATTTGTGAAGCATCAACAACATGGCGGAGTCGCCGCTGAAAAAAATTGAGGACAACCTGCTCGTGAATGGAGTGCGACTGGATCATACTCGGAATTGCACTCTCGAGTTGGTTGCTGCTGCTGCTGCTGTTAAGGATGTTCTTCTCAGTCTTCCTGATAAGAAGGTTAGTGTGCCAGTTATAAAATCTCAAGAAAAGTAGAAGGATTAAGTCGCATTTGCCTCTCCTCACGAATGTGAACTGTGGAGGGACTTCAATTGATTGCTGCAAAAACCTCATTACCTACTTAGATTTGTCTTAGTAGAGAATTGAAGAGGTTACTATGAAGTTTATTTGTTTTTCGTTTGTGTGATTGATCTTTGTCGGTTACTTTTACAATCACTGAGTCAGAGGAAATCAGAGGGCTTTGTGGTATAGATTTTACAATGCGAACTTGAGTTTTGATGTCCTGTGAAATCGTAGACATACTGATAGCGCTGCTGGTGGTGGTGGTGGTGGTGGTGGTGGTTGTAGTTGTTGTAGTAAGAGGAGTTGCTCAACCTGCATCTTGACACAATAGAAGTGCACTCCAAGATGCAACGAAGAAATGCACTGCTGGTTCTGAATCTGATTCTGACGGATTATGGTGTTGTTAATGCATGAACAACCTGGAGGCATGGTTCACAATCGTCAACTGTTACTTGGCGTTCTTAGGACATCCTTAAAATAATCGCGAGGGAATGTAACATTTTCAAAACTGCTGCAACTAAATTGAAAGAATGATCTGATTTACCAAAAGGTTCTTGTGCAGTCTTCTTTTGAATTTGCAATTGTCTGAATTGTATGCAGTGCTATTGCCTAATATCCAAATAATGAAAAGGTTAAGTCACTGTTCAGTGTTGCAACAGTGTCTTTAAAATTTGGATCACGGTGATTCTATAAGCGTTATTGAGAGACTGCCGCTGATTTTAAAGTTGGCATAGGATAAGTAATTCTATGTCGTCTGCTGTCATTTGTCTTTTGTAGCTAATTTTCAAAATAACAGTATCAAGCTGTGATCAATCTGTCACCCAAACCATGAACTTTTTCGACTTGAAAGATTAGGCAGATACTTTCTAATCAAGGCTCCACTCAAGTTAATTTTATTGTGGTTGTCTCCTGCTGTTAAGGAGATGGATGTCAGGACTGCAATTGAACACTTCACCATTATACTTCATCATGTGGAGAAGTTTGTTTAGGATCTGAAGGTTTACTTCGACGCTTTCTACTTGTATTTTGTGACTTTTTTCTCTTCCTAACATCCTCCATGGCAGTGAGACTTGTTTCCTCTGCTATGGCACATCTAGAAAGACCAATGCCATTTGTATATTGCAAAAAGTCAACACTAAAGATATTTGAAAATGCAATGGCTGGTCGTGATAACAAACTCCTCATGCTGTTTCGGCAACCTTCCAATGTCAATGACCATTGGTGATTAGAATTGCAGCATGATGGTTGACGTTTGGATGCCTCAACATTTTCCTTATAACCTGAATGGAACGTATGGGTATCAGTCTGGGACTTAGAAATGAGTGTTTTTTTTCACACATTGGTCACACTTGTGTAAAATTATTACTGAGTCGGTAAGAACTACCAAATATTTCTGCGAAGCGTTACCTGTTGGTGTTGGCAAAATGGAGCTACACTACAAGTTCTTCTCTCTAATCTCCAATTGTCTCTCTAATCTCCAATTGCCGTGTGGATCCATCATGATACTTTCTGTGAGGCTGCTACATCTTGCTGTTCTCTTGACCTCAGTGCACCTACTCTCAAACAATAAATGAACACCCATTCAAGTTTTATTACAAGCTAAGTTTTCTTGTCACCAGAATCAGTTAGATGTATTTTTAATTACGTATCTACCTTGAGTTGGTCCTTGCAAGAGGTTTTCAAGTCAGGCCAGCTGGACAGTGGCTCCTTCACTGCAGAAACTACAAGGTAGTTTATATTTTCAATAGATTTTAAGTGCTTCTGATGTTACATAAATAACCGCTCTGCAGCACGTGGTTCTGGTTAATCTTTGTGGCGCTATGCGACCCAAAGTAGGTCAAGTTGTAGCTTTGAAAAGATACTGGTTTCCTTCTAAGAATTTCTTATGTTCTCTCTTTTTACTATTTATAACACCTTTTGAATAGAAATACCATTGGATGCCAGGTCATGTAAGCTTTAGCACATCTTTAGGCAATTTAGTTTCTTTATGGTTCTGTAACTGGTTATCATATATTTACTTATTATTTATTATTTATATTTAGTGTTCTCTCATTCTTTTCCTTCTTAAGTGATAAGAATTAGAAGTCTTTTTTTTTTTTTTTTTTTTTTTTTAAATTTTTAAGAGTTAAGTTTTAGGGAAGTAAGAGTGACTTTGAATAAGAGTGAGATGGTGATTCAGGCTGAAGGGCTTTCACAAACGAAGATTGCTTCATCCCATGGGATTCAGTAGGCTCAAATATTGTCCCATCATGATTGAAGGATACCTCAGAACATCTGTACTAATAGATATATTGTATCTCACACATAGAGTTGTTATTAAAATACTTCAAGACCAAAATTAGACTAATTAATATGCTTCAAGAAAAATGTGGCACTCCAATGCTTGACCAACTCAACTGAATGTACTATCATAAAAAATCACACCCTAAGAATTCAAAATAAAAATAAAAAAGCAAAAAACAAACACAAACACAATCAAACACATGCGTAATTTTGTTTAAAAAAAAAACGAAAAATAATGTAACTCAGGAAGAAAGGTTTCAAACATGAGTTTGTTTTATATACTAGACTTGGATGTAGTGATGTTGCCCACCAGTGCAAAGCAGCACACGTGTCTCTTTAAACGGGGAAGTTGTAAGAAAAAGTAAAGAAAATGTTGTTTTGGAAAGTAATGAAAAGTCGAAAATCAGAAGGAAAAGAAAAAAAGAAAAAAAGAAGAAGAAGCAGACTTACAAGTTAGAGGTTGAGACTTTGGACAGCGTGCGGGTGGCGAGCTTGTGAGCACGGTGACTGGTTTTAAAGTCCGATCCAATTGGGAAATTGAACGCGTCGAGGAAACTCAACCGAGAATCGATCTGCCGGAAGGTGGTAAAGATCTCATGGCAATCCACCTCTTTACCCATTTTGCTCTTCCCGAGGAAACTCCGGCTGCAAACCTCGTACCGATCCTTCTCCTTGGCGTACCCGGATCCCGCGTCGTTGCTCGGCAACTCCAGCTCGGGGACAACCCAATTCATCGACCAGGTAATATCTTCCTCCACATTCAGACCGGACGGCACCCATTTCATATACGTCTTCTTCATGAACACTTTCCGGTTGTGTCGATGCTTCGGGAGCTTGCCGATCGTGATCTGCAAACCTCCGATGTACATGTGACAACCTTTGGACTCGCGCCGGAAGCCCAGAAGAACCGCATCGACCGCCTTGTAGGTGGTCGACAACGGAACCGCCATGAAGAGAGCTTCGTCCTTACCTCCTTTCAGAAAATCCATGTGCAGGTCTTCCACGGTGGCTTGCTCCGTGCCGTTGACGAGCTCGATCAGCGTGGGACGAAACCGAGTCATGTTCCCAAGCGGGATCGCTAAAGGCCGGTCGGCGAGTGCGCCTATGATGGCTCTCTCCACAAGAGCCCCACCTATGACTGGGTGACGTCTCTTGGGCGAGCTGTATTCTCGTTTAATCGCGTTCAAGCAGGCTGCGTCGAAAAAACGGTCGGTTTGTTCGTAGCATTGGAGCAGTCGGGCGAGCTCGGCTCCCACTAAGCCACTGGAAGGCTCCCCGATCCCGTTCACGATGCGGAAATATTTGGTGTCGATGTCTCGCGTGGATTTGGATATGGGCGAGCCAAATAAGTACTTGCAGACGCCGTCGACTAGTTTGTTCAGTTCCCCGGCTTCCTTAGCGCTTTCGAAGCGGCTTCCGAGATCCTCCCTCATTTGTTCCACCACCGGCTGAGTTTGCAATACTTTTAGAGCCGATTCGAAAGATATTTTCTCTCCCTTCGATGTCTGCTGTATGGTTTGTTTCAGAGCATCATACCACGCCGAGAGATACACCGGCAGCCTCCCCGTAACATCCAGTAAGATTTGCAATTCCATCTCATCAAGTAGCTCTTTAGACGTCTCACCGTCTGGTATAGAGCTCACAAATTTCCATTTCTCCCAACATTCCAATTCTTGGTCCTGGTGTTCACACCACATACAAACACAACTTTAAAAAGCACAATAAATGAAAAATACTTATTTACTTTCTTACTTATTTACCTACCCACTTACCTACCTGTGCTTGAAATCTAATCATGAATCATTAATGCTGCGAGTTTCACATCGTAACAGTTTAAGACATCGAAGTGTAAGCAAACAGATTCTTAGAACACTCTTGAAGCGAGTGAAGAAATTAATAAAGAAAACAACTACCTCTAATCCTTCATCCCACATGAAGAGTTTGGCCGGAGGTTGGCCAGCAAAGAAAGTCTTCTCAACAAGCTCACAACTCGAGGATGCCACGCGCACCAAGCAATGTCGACAGCACATGTGGGAAATCGCGGTTTTCAGCGCAGCGATCTCAGCAGAATGGCTTTCGAGGCACTGCCACTGATCAAAGATCCACAGCAGCTGCGACTCCGTGGCATCACAGAAAGACGCAAGGTGTTCAAGCGAAGCGCAGTTGCTGAGCTCCTGCAAGCTAACGGTGTCATCCGCGAACGCCACAAACAGCGCATCCTGCAGGACCAGCAGCGCGCGGTCGGGCTGCAGCAAGCCACAGTCGAGGACGGCGACCACGCGCTTGCGGGTGAGACCAGGCGACCAGGTGCGAGAAAACTCTTCCGTGAAGTCGGATGCGGCAGCGGCAAGGAGGTGGCTTTTGCCAGTACCGGCGGGGCCGAGGACGAGGAGCTGCGCGGAGGGGTCAGCGTAGAGGCTAGGGCTACGCAAAGGAGCGATGCGGGGGCTGCTGCAGGAGCGCTCCGCTGGGTCGCACTGCGCGACGAGCTGCACGATGAGGCGGCGCAGCTTGTGGTAGTGCACGCGCCCCATGAAGGCGAAGCGGCCGTCGTGTGTGGCGAAACGCGCGTCGGCGGCGTGGACCACGGGCAGCGTGAGCTCCATCCACTGCAGCCGCGACAGTGGGTCCTCAGTCTGCATGTGCTCTCGCAGCCTCTCCATGCTGGCTATCATGCTTTGTGGCACCACCTTCGCCTTCTTCATCACTGCAGCATCCCCCACTTATTCTTATTCGTCTCATTTCTATGCCCTTCATTATTACTTTATGTGACTGTGGCAGATTAGTATAATTTTTGTTTTTGTTGTTGTTATGTTTGTGTTTAAGTTTTTTTATTTTTTATTTTTTATATCTGGTTTTCTGTGGATTAGATATGTGGTTAGTTTGTTGTGTTGAATTGGGTGGCAAGGATATGATCCTTTGTTGTTCTTAGCTTAAGCCTTGATACTCTGTGTGGGTATTGTCTGGGTTTGATTAAGTCATGCTTTCAAAATGTTGAGCATGTCAAGGATTGTGTGATTGATGTGTGGATCATAGTGGATTTGAATTTGTGGCTGTTTGGATTTTTGGTTTTGAGTTTTGTAAGTTGTTGGGTTTCTGAGTTTAGAATATTGAAGTGAGAATGGTGTTGTGGGGTGTGAAGAATCGGATTTTGATATTAGTCTTAGTGGTAAGGAATTTGTTTTAAAGGATAATTTTCAATTTAAAAGAATCAACCTTGTTTATATATTTATAAAAAAAGATTAAAACAGTAAATTATATGTGTCAGTGATTTTTTAATTTTTTTTATCCTTTTTTTTTTTTTACACCAGATTATATTTTTTTATAAAAAAACTTAACAACAATCTGATCACATCAATACAGTAATTGAAACAAAGTGTTAACAAAATTTCACCTTTAACTTTACTTATTTTAGCATGAGTATGATCGTTGATACCAAATTCTATAACACCAAATCACATGAAATCATAAGACATGTTTAAGACACCCAACTGATTATAATCATAGTGAGGGAACAAATACTTAATGTTATTTTTTGTACAATCCATGATTGCTTTGCATAGAAAGTATTTGACCATTAAAAAATCACAATACAGAATCCATGAAAAGGAATAGATGATAGACCTGCATCATGGTTAGCCTCTTCCAAGTTCCGTTTCTTCCCCACTTTATTTTCTTCCAATATTTTATCTTCATTATTGGCCTCATCATCAAATCTAGGAAGAACCAATCGTAGTTTAAATATGTCCCCACTCTTTGGACTTTGATGTTCATGCCTCATAAACTCCTCTTGAAGTGTGTAATAAGGTTCAAGCTTTTGTTGTTTGTGCATATGTAAAACATCAATGTGTGTGTGTAAAGCCTCAATGTATACTTGCATCCCAGAAAATAAATATTTTTCTCGCTCTAATCCTAAACTTGCAAGGACTTTCTTTTCACTTAAGCTAAGAAGTGTCAAAATATAATCATGAGCCTCTAAAATTGTGCTATTGGCTCGTAGTTGTAAAATCCACATCACAATTTGTTTTATGCTAGGTATGTAACATGAAACATATACTTTCATCTCCATTTTCTTGATATCAATAATCAATTATTTCAATATATGTTTGTTTAAAAGTGGAATTTGAAAATGAATCATAAATTCATTTTCAAATGTATTTTCAATGGTCTTTACATACTCTTCATATCAATAACAAAGAATTGTAGTATTGCTTGTTGTTCTACAAATTCAAATTAATATGTTGAATTTATTAATAAAATGGTTAAATTTAATATTCTTATTATAGATTATAAGCTTTACCTCTTCAATCATGTAGAAACTACTTATAGCTCTAATTATTTTTTATAAGTTCTGTCAGTATAATATATTATGATTGAGCATATGTTAAATTTTGTAAAACTATTACTTAAAATTGAAACATTTAATTAGGAAGAATGATCTTCAAAAAGAATGAGATTTTTTTTATTAAGAAAATACCTATATTTCCAATTATTATGATATTATCATTCAAAAAATTCCATATACCATAATATATTAATAATAATTTCTTCAACATTTAAAGTCAATTTGTTTAATAGAATTTCAACATCTAAGTTGCAAATGTAAGCATGATAAGAACAGGATTTCAAGACAAATAAATCTGTTTTGCAAAAAAAATTGTGTTAAGCTAATAATGCTCACACCTCATCAAAAATTGGTCTTTCTTTTATATATATGGTAAAGAAGTTCTGAGATCAATCTTTTGTAATCTGATAAAGATAAAAATCACTTAACATATTAAGTATACACAGATCTTTTTTAAAATTAAAACTTAGAAATTTATTCCAAAAGATTGACTTTATCAAAATAATAGGGAACACCTTACAAATAGTAATTGGATTATTTATGAAATATAAATTCATATATATATATATATATATATATATATATATATATAAGTTTAAAATCAAGAAATCAAATGAAAAGAGTGAAACCTCTTGAAATTAAATCCAAATTTTATTTAACTACTATAATTACTATCAATAATATACTATTGATAATGAATTTTAACTTCAAAATTTGATGAAAAATAAAAATATTTATAAAAACAATGAGGTAAAATTCAAAAGCATCAGAAATAATCCTATAGGAATAGGATACATAAAGATTAAATACATTGAATAAAATAATATAATCTAACTACAAAAAGAAGTATGCCACTTTTTAGTTTTTACAATACTTCTCTTTGTTTTTCAAAATTCAACTCAATCTCCTTTCAAATCTATATTATTTAATATAAATTAATTAATGATTTTAGATTACTTGGTTCGACTCTTTCACTCTATGGAAACTTTAAAATCAACTTTCTAAATTTTTAGAACTATTTTCACGTAATCTTTGCACATTTTGTGTAATATTACTAATTTAATTCCAATATTATTAGGTATTAATTAAGAGAATTATCAAATTCTTTATGCTATGTCATGAAAGAAATTGAGAACCAAACAAATTAAAAATCTTGTAGATTTGATAAAAAAAGTCTAAGTAAACTATATAAACTCGTTTTGCCAAAATGATTTGAAAAATGTAATAACAATTACAAACTTTAAGTTGCTGACATAAAGAGTGACTATGCTTCAAATCGGAACAAAATGAAGAAAAAATAATTATACCAAACCATGTATGTGTACTTGAGGCTAAATTTCCATCAAAATATAGCAATCTGTTCATACTAAGTAATATATATATATATATATATATATATATATATTTCATATGATAAAGGATAAATTTGAAAGAATAACATAAAGATATGTGACAACAAAAAAAAATTGTAAAAGTTTTGAGAAGCAATATACTATTATGATGCAGTATTCAAAAACCACACACACACAAGGTTACATGACCAGTGCATTTTGAAGATCTTACAAAAAGAAACGTTTCCAGATTACAACACTTTTTCAAGCAATAATGATATACACATACTAGAAAAAACCTGTGCAATTCGGCATATAATGCTTATAAAAGCTTTTGAGAATTGTGTCATTTAAACTATAAGCCCTGCTTTTCATCATATCCCATGCTTCCATCTTCACAGCCATTAAGAAAGACTCTTTGACATGATTCTAAGTTACTTTAGTTACAACAGATGATAAATATATTCATTTCTAAAAAGCATTTGAAATACTTTTAAGTAAACCAAGGTCTTCCGCATATTCATAACTTCTTTTAAATTTATTTTGGATTGGTCAAAGTTTAATTAGCATTATTAAGGTTTACTTAAAATTTATTAAGATAATATTAGATTTGGTAGAATTGTTGTTACATTTCTACTTACCTTCCACAACTAAGTGCTCAGTACATTCTTAACCAAGAACAAACATAATACAACAATGACCATCTATATCTTTTATACGTACAAGTTTAGTTTTCTTGAATAAAGATATTTCTTATTTTTTGACAAAGTCTTTGTCTATAAATCAAGTTGAGAATCTTGAATCTAATAATGTAAAGACTTTGTAATTTTTAGGTCCTAAATACACATCTATTGTAAAACAAGGTGAAGGATCAAAAGATAGAATAGAACATTTACTTGGTATTACACATGATTCTAGCCGCATGGTCCCAATTGTAGCTAGAGATTTTTTTTTATATATACATTGTCTTATTTGGCAATCATGCTCCTCATTTAGTGATTGTGTTATTTCTTTAGACAATGTTGAACCATGTGCTTAGCTTCTCTACAATATAAGCAAAAACCCTCTTAATGACATCAAATCTTTTTTTGTGCTGTGAAAGATTTAAAATGTGCTATATCAATTTGCATTAATTCCAACCTTAATGAATAAGTTTCAAAAAACTTGGAAGTTATTATCATTACTTGACTTGTTTTTCAATCCAAGTCTTTATTTTTGATCCGATTCAAACAATCAATTATAGCATGTAATGGCTTAAGCAATAAATTATTTCAAAGATTTTAGTTTTGGCATTGTTAATAATGAATCTTTGACGTTATCCTTCAACCCATATAAAAACTAATTAATAAGTGCTTTATTATTCTAGTCCACATTGCAAGCGAGATTTTAAAATTTAGTAGCATATATGGTAGTTAACTATGAACTTTGTCATAAAGATAAGAGTTTGGTCTCTACTTCTTTCTCAAATACTTTCTTTGAATGTGGCTGTAAACATTTTTAGGAATAAATTCTAATCATAAAAGAGTTGTGAATCTTCTTCCATCAAATGTGCAAATAAAAAAAAATGGTTTTTAGATAGAAGGGCACTTATGAATCTAACTTAGGTAAATCCATCAAGATATTAGAAGGGATGCAATCTTAAATAGAGCTAGATTTATTACAAAAATCCTTGAAATTTTGATCTTCTTCCATCAAACTTCTTAGGCATATTAATCCTTGCTTCTATTGTACTTATAGAAGCAAAAATTCTTGGATTTGGTTGTAAAGTCAATCTACTTGCTTCCTTAAACTGCATAAGTTCTTAGCATAGGTTCTAAACTTCTTCCATAGGTGTATGAATAGTACCTCTATGATTCATGTTGGAAATACATGAGATTTTGGCTCTTAAAGATCTATAGTAATTGCAAATTTATACTCACTTCTACTAAGAATAGCATCTATAATCATTCATTTTATAAATAACTCAAGTAATTTTTAAAAAATAAAATAGAAGAAGGTAATCCGCAACCTCTAATATCAAATAAAAATTTCCACAAAGAGATAA